TTATCTGTATATATATATATGAATAAATGTAGTCATATAATAAAATTCCTCTCATCATACAAAGTTCCATAAGCTAATGTTTCTTTTATCTTATTAAATTCTATGGTTTTTATTATATGTATATTGCATATGTTTAAAAATGCTCTAGCCAAACAATGTATTTTTTCAAAAAATTAAATACTGGAATATAGAAAGAATTCCACAAAAATTTTCCCAAAAATGTTTAAAACTTTAGGACTTCAGAGAGTAATACATTAAAGAAAACCTTTTTAATTGATAGCTTCTCTTTGTTTCTATGTTTTTTGCGTATTCACTATATATAGGTATTTAAGTAATTAAGTAATTAAGTAATTAATGCGTATTATCACATTTTTGTTTTTCTTCTCTTTCAATTTTAATAGGAACAAAGTTTCGCGGATTTTTTTGTGGTACCATGAGTTTCAATCAAATAAAGACAATATTCCAAAATATTGAAAAAATACTAAAAATGAAAATTTCAAGGAAAATAAATTATTTATGAAGAACACGACGCTAATCACACTTCTTTTGACTCACCCTATATATCAATAAGATAAAACAAGACATCATTCGTATATATATGTTGCGTATAGCCGACCAAACGGCTGGACCGAAATTTTTGTTCTCAAATTTTTGTTATTATTTTTTTCCCCGGGCAACGCCGGGGGTCTGTCAGCTAGTATATATATATATATAGATATGTGTAAATAGATGTTAATACTCAAATTGTATAGGATTAAAAAAACTAAAGTTTAAGTAGGTGTAAAGATTTAAAAAAAAATGTTTCTATAAATTCTCTCTGACGTCATTTTTTATTATCTGAATTTACTATTTTTAAATTAATTCTTTGACGTTGTTAGAAATTCATGGACGTAACTCAATATAAAGCGTGAAAAATGTTTAAACATGTAATATTTGACTTTACAAACACTTAGAGATAAAGAAAAGTATGACTTTTAATCAGTTATAGAAGCTTACTCTTTGCTTTAGCAGTGTTGCAGTGAACTAGAAATATATAATATATATTATAATATGTTTAACCCATGTATATTGACAGAAGAGGAGTAATCGGAAACAATGTATTGTTGATTTATTTATAGTTAGTATATATATAATAAAACAAGACATTCGTATAAATATAGGTTGTCTATAGAAGGCCAACGGCTGGACCGATTGGGCTGAAATTTTTTGTGGACACTCATGCGTGGCCGGGGGGTGTTACAGGCTAAAAAAATTTCACGGGAAACGCCGGGCCCATCAGCTAGTGTATATGCGCTTTAGTTCAATCAAGATACAATACATCACATTCAATACAATATCCAATATATATACAATAAGAATACATTCCAAATACTTTCTCTCAAGATGTATAACGCATACACATATATTAGATAAACTGAAGTAAAGGAACTGAGTTTTTGCCACAAACTAAAAATTTATATTTCATAAATCTTTACAACCTAATTGTTCAAACCTTTGATATTCCAAACTTAGATTATTTGATCTAACATAGTTTGAAATATTAAAGGTCATGCAATTATGTGTTTAAAACATATAGGGTTTAGAAAATCAGAGCTTGTGCAAAGACTCAATTTTAGAGTTAAGTTCAGCATGTTTTCAAACATAATTTATTTTATGGACAAGCTATTGATAAGAAATGATATTTTCAAAACTATATAGATATTAGAAACTGAACTCATTAGCAATTAAAACTTAATCTGAGATAATTAAGTTTTCCTTCTTAATGAAATCATTGAACTCTGATTAGGCTTGTAATCCCTGTAATGTTTTTTTTATATTTACCACATCTTCTTAGGATATCAGAGTTAGAAGGTCTATGGATATTATTACTAAAATATCTAAATTTCTTTGAAGAAACTTTGACTTTCAAAAAGATGGATTCAAAAACTCTTTCGTGAACTAAACTGCAGGAGAAGGTGAAATCCTTTGTACGACTTTGTGACCTCGTAGCTCCTCTAGTTTGGATTTCATGCACAACTATGAGAAAAGCAAAATTTGGTCAAATATTAGACATTTAACGCATTTTGTTCTTCTCTAAAGATCTTGCATAAGAAGACTTCACTTGAAATATGTTTAGCATATCACTTTCCTTAAAATTAGAATACAATTCTAAAATAATTTGTTCCATTTATATAAAATCGAAATCTACTTTAGCTTCGGGATTTTCCAAGATTATTATGGACGCTTTGAATTACCATAACCTTACTAAAATGTCTGAAATATCAAAACTATTTCAGAGATTATGAGTTTTGCTGGTGGATTTGTACCTACACAGGTTTGAATAATAATTGATTACAACTTACTTTTATGATTAATAATGATGAAATTTGTGATTAAGAAATGATAAAAAAGATAAGAAAAGTTTAAAAAAAAACTAGTGGATTATTAAAGTTACTGAACGCGAAATGTTAAGTTACCCTCCTTTCAAAAAGGTCAATGCCTGATTTACAACATTGACTGTTTATCGAGTTAAGAAAGCTCTTTGTTAAAATATCTTGAAAACCACTTGAATTCTTGTAAAACATGGTGTACGCTGTGTATAGTGTCAACTCAATACACAGCTAATGCCATTACTTTACATAACAGAATAATATTTTTATTAGCGGTTTCCAAAAACTCGAAAGAAAATGATTTTCTTCTGCCAACTTCAGAAGCTGAATATTAATATTTTCAAAACTTAAAACAGCTTACAAAGAAAGTGTTCACAATTTAATGCTTTTTCGTAGATTAATGAGAGACAGCCTTGATTAGTCAAAAGGTATAATGGTGAATTGGACATTGCCATATTTTTCATTGAGTCGAGAGTCACTTAATATTACGCTTACAGTCCCTTTAAAAATGTTACTGAGCAGTTACAAAGAGGAAAATATTTTATTTATTTGTTTTTAGAGTTTCCGACTTGGTTTGTTGAATAAAGATAGTGCAGGGAAACCATCGAGTACTGTAGAGCTCTCAATCACATGTAAAGGTCAGTACAGGACATGTTTCTTATGTACAGTACATGTTTCTTGTGTACAGTACATGTTTCTTGTGTACAATACCTGTTTCTTGTGTACAGTACATGTTTCTTGTGTACAGTACATGTTTCTTGTGTACAGTACATGTTTCTTGTGTACAGTACATGTTTCTTGTGTACAGTACATGTTTCTTGTGAGTACATGTTTCTGGTCCAGTCCATGATATATAATACATTTATAAACATGGTTACCTACAAAGGATGAGACTTCAACGACGATTTATAACTAGTGTTTCCAACGCAAGGGGATTTTACTTGCGCGCAATTACAAGCCCTGTAAACTCCGCGCAATACCAATTGGAAACCCTACCTACAACTCTAAAGTCTGGATTCGCAAACAATTTTGAATAAATGATACTTAATGATTTGGCAAAGACAGCATTTCCTTTAGAGGGTATATTATATATATTTTGTACGAGCTTGGAAACCCAGCTTTGTCTATAAGAGATCTAAACAATTATTTTCACCAACCCATCGGGCAAGGGGTTCAAGAGTGTTGATCTAACACACAAACAAACAGACAAACACCGAAATTTCCTACTTTATAAATACAGATTTCAAAATAAATAAATGTAGACTGATTCAATTTTTGTATTTACAGTTAAAATAAATTTATAAATGTTTTACTATGAGTGTGTCTAAAAAAAACCCTAAGTGCAACACATTTATAAGGAAGCCCTGGGTTGAAAATAGTCCCAAACATTTTTTGAATATTCGACCAACTCAACGCACAACTAATATTCCATGTAATATTTCAAGTATATAAATGAAGTGATTTCCAAAAGTTCCTAAAAAAGTTATGAAAATTTAAAAGAAAATGGTTAAGAAAAGTAAAAAAAGGCAAACATTCTTTAATGGGCAATTTTTACCTTACGTTTTTTTTTATCAAAATTGAAAATGTCTAAATATCTCATATTTAGTTTTTTACAAGTTTACAAGCAATAAAAGAGAAGCTTTAATTGACAGCTTCTCTCTGTTTCCATGTTTTTGTGTATCCATGCTGTTTAAAAGTTCGATATAAATAAAAATTGAAAGTCGTCTTCATTATATGGTTATAATCGTCTACCACCGTATGTAAAATTCAAATGACTATACATTCTTTTTATTCAGGCACATTTTGTCATTATGCTTAATGGATAAGATTAAAACATGGTCTTAAAGTATTCTTTAATGCTTTATAATTCTTAATTGAGTAGATTCATCTTGAGGTATTATGTGGTTAGTAGAATTTACCTGTAACTCTGATTTGATTTGATTTGATCCTGTAAAAAACTGCGTTTTATATTTACCTGAGTTTTCCTTAAATTCTGGATCCAATTTTAAGTTTCTATAAGCAATCTAGATCCATTTTGATCAATTTAAACCAATTTAGATCTATTTAGATCAATTTAGATCACTTTAGATCAATTAGTGAATAGTCTAATTGAAACATTTAAAAATACTCAATATTTATCCAATCTTTCAGTGTGTACTAATGGATAAAAGATAAAAGAAACATACAATTTTTTAACGCTTTTAAGGATATATACAATATACATGCTATTGCAAGATAACACTATACCCATAGGATTGGAGTGAGAATTTTGAGATTGTTTTTGTTAAGAATTAGCATCAATCATCAAATTCTAAACTCTAGCAGACAAAACATTCTGCGGAATACACTTGCCATTATCACTATACTAAATAAAAAACGTGTACAAAGACGATCTCGAATTCAGTCATCCATTCCCACTTTTTTTTGGAACGCCATGTAGAAAATAAAAATAAAGCTAACCTATTGATTTTAAAGAAAATCCAATCAGTTTAGAAAAATTATATCTATTTATATTTTTGAAAAAAATCATAAATTTTGTTTATTTAATACACGCTTTTTACAGAACTTACAAACGCATACTTTAATTAAAGAATTTTTTTTAAATTCTTGTTTTAATTTTTTTTATTTTAGGAAAAACAAAATTTAAGATTTGTTGTGATTGATGAGGACAACCAATCAGCAAATATACATCATCATGATGCTTTAGGTTGGTCAATAGTTTTTTTTTTCATCAAAGTGTTACGGTTACGGTATTCTTCAAAGTTTTATGAAATCCTACCTATCTACGTTTATATATTCTATCAATTTTCATAACATTCTATCAAAATTTTATCAGAGCTAGTTTTATGTGATTCTTTCTACATGTTATGAGATTTTATAAAATTTTTACGAGATTCTATGTGTTATGGGATTCGAGCAAAGCTCTATGAGATTCTATCAAAGCACTATGAGATTCTGTCAAACGTTTATGATATTTAATCAATTCTCATGAGATTTGATAAAAAAAAAATGTTGTATGAGATTTGATCACAGATTTTTGATTTTTTACGAGATTCTATCAAAGCACTATGAGGTTCTATCAAAGTATTATGAGATTCTATCAAACTATTATGAGATTCTATCAAAGTATTATGCGATGATTACATATATCAAAGTTTTATTGAGATTCAATCTGGAACTTCTAGATTCAAAGATTCAATAAATCAAGGATTCTATAGATAAACCTGTTATAGAGAAAGCAAGCATTTCTTCATTATTTTAACTCAGACGAAGGTTTAAAGATTACCAATGTGAATGGGGCAATCAACTTCGGTAAATCTTGAAATACCTGAATTTACGTTAACAGTCTCTTTTTTACTCAAATAGATTATCAAGTACAGTAGTTGGCAACAGAGAAATGGACGTGACGTCACAAGTGTCAAATATTACAAGGAAAACACAATTTTCTCACATTAGTTGACATGTTTTCCAAGATTAAATAAAAAAAAGTGTAAAAACAGAAATTAAAGAACACAAAATTGCACTTATTTCACTGTATGATAAGTACTTTATTATCACTATTATAAGTAATTTTGTCGGACACCTAAAACTGCTGACACTTGTGACGTAAGAATACAGCTGTACTGAGAGTATGCAAATTCTACGTTGCTATCTATTTAACTAATGTGTTGTTGTCTATAAAGGAGAATTGTACTGTAGCCTGGGGGAGATAATGGCGCTTCAGAGTCGAGGCTTTTCAAGAAAACTAGGGAAAGGTTCAGGGACTATGAAGTATGTTTTATCTTTATATATAAAGTAGTAATCTCTGTTTTTTTGTTTGTTTATCCAATCATAACTTATGAATCCTTTAACCCATAATCTTCAAATTTCGAATGGGGAACTCTGTAGAACCACGGGAATGTTCTTAGTTTGGTTTATAATCTGAGTTGGTTAAATTTTAAGTTGAAAGTTTAGTTTCCAGGCAAAGCAGGGTTCCTATGGCTAGTAATCTATATTGTTGTTGAAGGGACAGAATATGTATTAACCCTTACCCTAATTTTCTCGTCATCACAACAACGTAATTCATATTATTTTTTTATAATATATTTTTTTTCAGAATAGAGGCCCGGGAACTGTCTGGAGAACAAAGTAATATTACTTTCTCATTTGCTGCTAAATCATTGGATAACAAGGATATTATGGGGAAAAGTGATCCTTTCCTTCAGATATCCAGGTATATATCCTTTCCTTCAGATATCCAGGTATAAATCCTTTCCTTCAGATATCCAGGTATATATCCTTTCCTTCAGATATCCAGGTAGTATATATATCCTTTCCTTCAGAAATCCAGGAAGTATATCCTTTCCTTCAGATATGCAGGTATTTCCTTTTCTTCATGTACCCAGGTATATATCCTTTCCTTCATATGTCCAGGTATATATTCTTTCCTGCAGATTCCCAGGTAGTATATCCTTTCTTCAGATATCTAGGTATATATCCTTTCCTTCATATGTCCAGGTATATATCCTTTCCTTAAGATATCCTGGTAGTTTCTTTTCTTCAGATTCCCAGGTAATTTATCTTTTCCTTCAGATATCCAGGTAGTATATCATTTCTTTCAGATATCCAGGTAGTATATCATTTCCTTCAGATATCCAGGTATTATATCATTTCTTTCAGATATCCAGGTAGTATATCATTTCTTTCAGATATTCAGGTAGTTTATTTTTTCCTCCAGATATCCAGGTAGTTTATCCTTTCCTTCAGATATCCAGGTATAAAACCTTTCCTTGAGATATCCAGGTAGTTCCTTTCCTTCAGATATCAAAGTAGAGTATCCATTATTCCAGATATCCAGGTAAATATCCTTTCCTTCAGATATCCAGGTAAATGTTATTGTATTAAGTTTCTTTGAGTCCATTTACCCAAAACTCTAAATCTAAACTGGCAATTCCCAATTCACAACGGTACCCTGAAAAGCTTAATCTGATCAATAATGAATTAGATATTAATGTTTATAGCTTTGAAAATTGTGGGTTTTCCCCAATCGTGACCAGTGCATTTCTTGTACCGGAAAACATAAAGGAATTATCAGAATTTAACACTCATAAGAACCTAGACAACTTGAAATTACGCTTACAGTCCAAGGTCTGTTTTATGCGGAATTACTGGCCTAACTTTGCACAGTGCACAGTGCTTACCTTATTTTAAGCAAATCAAAATTGCGAAAAGGATTTCTATATTTTAATTTCCTTTTTAATTGATATTTAGAGGAAGGAGTTTTGTTTGAAAATAAAGAAGATTTCTCACTGAAATGATTTATCCTTATTTTTTCAACTGAAAACTGATTTTGTGGAAACTTCACCGTGCTTTACACTAAATGCCATTGTACACTCAATGCCATTGTACACTTAATGCCATTGTACACTCAATGCCATTGCACTCAATGCCATTGTACACTCAATGGCATTGCACACTCAATGCATTGTACACTCAATGCATTGTACACTCAATGCCATTGCACACTCAATGCCATTGTACACTCGCACTCAATTTTCAACTGAAAAATATGGAACATCTCCGTCATTGATGATAAGACGAACGTTTAAAAGGGTACCGTTGTACATCAAATATCCCCTTTTATAAATGTTGGGTCACTGAAAATAAAGTGTACAGTTCCTTAAATTGTGTTAGGTTGAGCCCTGGAGCTAGAGATGAGGATGGTACTGTTGTATTCAGAACTGAGACCATTGATAACAATCTTAATCCAGCTTGGAAAACCTTTAGTATAGGTAACAATTCATTTACTATATATATATAAACTTTGCTTGTCTGTCTGTTTGTCTGCGCTGGCTGTACCGATCTTTTTTGTGGGAACTCGCGTGACCCCAGGAAAGGTTTATGGATGATCGAATTTTAAAAGTTTTTTTCATTTTTGAAAATCCACAAGATTTTTGAAAAAATCCGCGAAATTCTTTGTTTGTTTTTGTTTTACAATGTAAACAAACGAACATTTCACCATTAAAAAAGAAATGAGCGCATTGAAAGGTTAGTGGTATTAAATTTGTCTTTAAAGTTTTAAAGACACAAGTCTTTAGGAAAGTTTTTCTTTCATTTTCTAATGGTATTTTAGTGGTACATTGATATAAAATGATTGTATATTGATGGATAATACAAATACTATAAACTAAGTTCTGTTAACAATATACGTTTTCGTGTACTTTTTGGAATTTAAGATAAAACTTTACATTAGATGTAGGATAGGACTGGGTTAATTTCTGCGAACCAACAGGAAATTTTTAAAAAATTTCGTTAATGAACGGAAATAACTATTTGAAAAAACGAAATATTACTTATTGTACCCAGACGTTACGCTTAGAACGGATTGAACAAGATTTTACATTCCCAGACCTTTATAGAAGTGTTGTTTAGATAGCAGAGTTCTGTGTAACAGTGATCCTAATCTACCCTTGAGGTTGAGTGTTTATGATGAGGATAATGATGGGTCTCATGATCTTATTGGAGCTCTTCAATCCTCACTTGCTCAACTCATGGAGGTAGGACTGGAGGTAGGACTGGAGGTAGGACTGGAGGTAGGACTGGATGTAGGACTGGAGGTAGGACTGGAGGTAGGACTTGAGGTAGGATGGAGGTAACCATCCCTTTAACTCTAGTTAAACTCTTGTTTGACTCTTGTTTAACCATGTGTTCAGGTTCCTGGCCAAGAGTTTCCATTGATAAACCCCAAAAAGAAAGCCAAGAAAGGATCTAAGTATAAGAACTCTGGAGTTCTTGTTCTTAAATCTTGTCGAAATGAACCTGTTCATTCATTCCTCGACTTTATCCATGGAGGATTACAGGTAACAAAATCTCATGAATATTTAGTGTTTTTTTATACAATGGTACTCAGTACGCTGTTGCTGGTCAATCTTTCTCAGGTAACTGTTCTAAACTGTGTCAGTATTCAGTAAATTTTGCTGTACAATGTACACTGTACTGCACTATGCAGTGTACAGTGAACACTGTTCTGAGCTGTGTCAGTATTCAGTAAATTTTACTGTACAATGTACACAGTACTGCACTATGCAGTGTACAGTGAACACTGTTCTGAGCTGTGTCAGTATTCAGTAAATTTTGCTGTACAATGTACACTGTACTGCACTATGCAGTGTACAGTGAACACTGTTCTTAGCTGTGTCAGTATTCAGTAAATGTTGCTGTACAATGTACACTGTACTGCACTATGCAGTGTACAGTGAACACTGTTCTAAACTGTGGCAGTATTCAGTAAATTTTGCTGTACAATGTACACTGTACAGATAATGACGATAATGACGATAATGACTTTAATGACTATGATGATAATAATGATGATAATGATGATAATAATATTAAAAATAAGATAATAAAATAATAATGAAAACAATGATAATAATAATAATGATATTTTAAATTGCAGAGTGCTGAAGTTCAAGATAATCAGTATACTTTGGCAATCAAATCCGTTGGCGATATCATTCAGGTAGTTGCCGCGGCTCCCTTCAAAAAAATATATTTTTTAAATAAGTAATTATATATCTGAATTGGGACAAATTAGTTTGTTGGTGATCCAACAAACTTACGAGTTAAAGTCCTAACGAGTTAAAGTCCTAACGAGTTAAAGTCCTAACGAGTTAAAGTCCTAACGAGTTAAAGTCCTAACGAGTTAAAGTCCTAACGAGTTAAAGTCCTAACGAGTTAAAGTCCTAACGAGTTAAAGTCCTAACGAGTTAAAGTCCTAACGAGTTAAAGTCCTAACGAGTTGCTGCAATAATAAAAATTCTTTGATTGGTGAAAATCAGTTTATAATTATTAATTAGTACAGATATTTATTTTATTTATTTCGATTTGTATTTCTTGGAAACTTATTTTAACAAAAACCGCTTGCCACAAGTTCTTTATATAATTTTTATAATTCTTAAATTGATGTCGTAGACCTTTGGTATTTTAAAGGATAACTTCTGTTAGGCCAAATAATCAAAGTTTAAAACATAACAGGTTAACACCATCAGGTTGCAAATATAAAGGAATATTAAAAAAATCTCAATACCTGTAATAAGAATTTTTTTTGTAAACAAAGGGATTTTCTTGACTGTTTTAAACATGACGAAATATTATTCCAATTAAGACCGAATCTAAAAAAAATGTTGGTCTTCAGTTTCAAAGATAGACCATCTCTATATTAAATGTTTATATTTTGTTTAGGATTACGATTATGACAAAAAAAAATAAAGTTTCTGACAGAGAAATTTTTTTTATCGTTCGATTTCGGGAATGAAAAATAATTTGATGAGATTTTTTTGTTATTGCTCCATTCTTGTTAAACCTTCTATCTTATAAATATTAGAATTTATGATTGCTTCACATTTTCAACAAAAAAAAACCTGGGCCCCTTTAATTGTTTTAAGAGGCTAAAACCTCAATGGAAATCAAAAACTTCACTTTTAAAGGGGGGGAGGGAGGGCTAAGCACTCATTCTGAGTTTGTATAATAAACAATTGCAGATTTTTACAATTTTGTTTCTCTATTTCTTAAGTCATGGGGGATTTTTTAGGGCAATAAAAGTAAATTAATTATATTATTATAAAATATGGTAGATTTTGCACAACGCATGCATTTTATGCAGGAAAATACTTGTAATAATTTGTAATGTATTGACTCCCTCTGTATTTGTAGGGTTTGGTGCTAAGCTGACTCCTGAGGCTCCTGTTATGCATGAGTTCTTTGTAACCCTGGATCCTAATAATCCGTTCTGTGCTGGGGTTCCCGGGTTACTAGACGCATACAGAAGGTAGCGGGATGTTAGGTTAAATGAAGGTTTAGTAAAATAAAAATAACATCTCGCTTTGTGAAGTTTTTATGGAAAAAATCTCTGAGGGGTGGTTATTCTAAATAATTGTCCAAAGGGACATAAAATAACCTTACGTTAGGAGAATAAATAGGTCAGTAATGGCGGTCAAACGGCGGTAAAATAACCATATTGGGATGCAATCTTGCAGCTAGAAATGAAAGAACTGGATTTTTACATTTTTGGCATGAATACTTCCTGATTTATTTTTATATTTATACAACGCGCTCATGACTGTAAAACTACCTTAAAGTCTGTAAAGTCTGCACTTAATTATTCAAAACAATCAGACATAAATACAAAAAAACAGAGATTACTGCTTTATAAATTATGGATGAAAATACCAACAAAATGTTGAATTCTACTTTTAATTAATAAACAATTAATAAACTATTTGTTCAAAGGTTATAGCTTTGTGACTTTTAAATGATGGTCCAAATAAGATACAGGATTTACCGCAAAGAATGAGACTTTAATTAAACTCATTGAATGTCAATTTTTAGAGTAGATTTTTTCATCTGCTTTAAACCAGTTTTTTAAATGGATTTTAGATGATTTTTAACCAAATAAATAAATAACGGAGAACCTTGAATGAACAATTAACACATTTCGTTCAGTCATCTGAAAAGTCTCAATCTTTGTGGATAACCCTGTACATAATCTGTACATAATCTGTAGTTATTATATTTCAACCGAAAACCTCTTAAAACATCTGTTTAAGATGTGTTTCTGTTGTTCAGCTCTATGGACCAACCAACTTTTCCCCCATCATAGAACATGTGGCACAGTAAGCAATAGTTTAATGAATTGTTACAGTTTAACCTTTTAACATTAAACTAAACAATAATTCATATTTCATTTACGAACATATCACATTTATTTTCAACGCAAAATCAAACTTTGGTCTCACGCGTTTTTAAAATAAAGTGATTTTTAAACAGAAATCAAATTGCAAGAAATATAATATTTCAAACATTTACACAATTTTGTAAAAATCGATTTGTTTTCAGAATGCGTTTAAAACATTTTCGAGTTTGTTTTTTGTATTCCTTTTTTCTAACATTTTACTTCTTTTTGCTCTTTGATTTGGTCTAGCTCTATTTGTCTATTTGTATATTTTGAATTATATTTATAATATTTATTTATAGATTCGCCAGAGCTTACAAGGATGAACCAAGCAACTACTTTGTTCTGCTCATCATAACTGACGGAGCCATCACAGACATGTTGGACACTAAGCGGTTAACATTTTATTTATTAAAACTATTGTGCATTTTATTCATGCTCAGGTTATGCTTAGGTACATAATAGCATGCTCAGGATATGCTTAGGTTCATTATAGCATGCTCAGGTTATGCTTAGGTTCATTATAGCATGCTCAGGTTATGCTTAGGTTCATTATAGCATGCTCAGGTTATGCTTAGGTTCATTATAGCATGCTCAGGTTATTCTTAGGTACATTATAGCATGCTCAGGTTATGCTTAGGTTCATTATAGCATGCTCAGGTTATTCTTAGGTTCATTATAGCATGACTATAAGGTAAATATTGCTGTATGATTAAATTAGCTGCATGATATTTCTATATATAGCACTATAGTATAATTCTTTATTTGAAAGATTTCTTGAAATTAGGTTTACCTTTGCACTTTACTGTTAAAGCAGAATATTTTCAGATTAATCAAACATATTTCCGACTGAAATGTGCTGTCGCTTAAAGAGTCTGTAGACTTAATTTCAAGTAACCCTTTATGTATAAAGTGGCATGTCCAGTTCACAATGGTACTCCTAATAATATTTGTTTGGTTAATTATGAATCAGATATCCATGTTTATAACTTTAAAAACAGTTTTAAGGGTATTGTCATGAATCGGGAATTGCTCTCTTAAAATGAAGGGTCTCTTGAAATATCCGCTACAGTCTCTTTAAAAGAGATATTTATATTCTAGAAGTATAGTGAATGGAAGTAAACTACCGATGTCAATAATCATTGTTGGAGTTGGGGACTCAGACTTCTCCTCCATGGAGGAATTAGACGGAGATGGGGGCAGGCTTAATTTGTAGGTTTTGTAGGTTTTGTAGGTTTTGTAGGTTTTGTAGGTTTTGTAGGTTGATGCGTTTTAAATGAAAAAGTAGAAAATGGCAACTCTGTCAATTTAAAGATTGATGAATTAAATCTAGCCCTTGATAGTTCAGAGTGACGGGGGCAAGCTTTGGTTTCAGATTAGATTGACAAACTGGGTAGAAACACGGGAATGTTCATAGCTTGGGTTGACTACTGGCGAAGCTGGGTTTCCAAGCTAGTTGTATTTAAATTTAATTTTTCTAATTTATTGATGAATTCAGATTTCTCCTGAAACTGGAAGATTTATTTTATAATCTTTTAATTTTGCTTTCTAGGTTGCAGATAGGGATATTGTGCAGTTTGTTGAACTCAGGCGATTTGTTGAAACAAGTAATTTTTTTATATTTTTTGTGATATTTCCGAAACAGTTCTTACAACAATTAATAGAAATGTTCTAGCCAATTAAAAATTAATGTTGTCAAATTAAGAAAGTTTTTATTGAGTTTTGCTAAAAAACGTGAGAAATGTAAAACTACTGAAACTTCTAAAAAATCATCTAAATCTACACATGACCCATCTAATTAATGTAAATGACAATTAGTAATTCATTAAAAATGATAACAGATTTTAAGAAAATTCTGATATTAATTTTCGAAAAGTTTGAAGAATTGGAACTGATTTTTATTTAAAGTCTGTTTGATATTGATACTAATTCAACTATGTAAAACGAATATGCAGTGCGTATCTAAAACGTAGTTTAAAAATGGTCATTTAATACGTGTCAGATAATAATGTGTAGGACAAATGATTTGGAGGACAAATAACCGTAGGACAAATGAATGTAGGACACATGATAGTAGGACAAATGACATAGCGCCATATGTACAGTGTTAACCAAAAACTCTAAAAATAGGAAGTCCTTTAATTGCTGTGCAGTGTAAATAGGCCAATTTTACTAAATTATTGATTTTGTAAGGGTCTAGTGAAACTATTTCTTCCTATTCCATTGTTTTCTTGCTATCACTTTTAATTGGTACACCTTGTATGATATTGCTCTGTGCTGTAGATGGTACCTGGAGTAAGGAGAGGTTGACCGCGGCAGTTCTAGCAGAAATACCAGATCAGGTTTAATATTTAAACCTTATGGGGATAATTCGATCGTTTTGGTGTACCTCCCCCCCCTCCCTCTCCTTTTTTCTTTATTTACTCATCTTAACCTAACCTGGAAAAGTATTTGTTTATTTTATTAGTGTACTGCAGACTGCAATTCTAGTCCAATTTTTTACCTCGTAAATATCCAAGTTCTTCAAACTCATGCAATTGAAGTCTGTTCCATTGAATGCAATTGAAGTCTGTTCCATTGAATGCAATTGAAGTCTGTTACATTGAATGCAATTCAAGTCTGTTCCATTGCATGCAATTGAAGTCTGTTCCATTTAATGCAATTGAAGTCTGTTCCATTGTATGCAATTGAAGTCTGTTCCATTGAATGCAATTGAAGTCTGTTCCATTGAATGCAATTGAAGTCTGTTCCATTGAATGCAATTGAAGTCTGTTCCATTGAATGAAATTAAAAAGAAAACATAAAGACAATGGTTAGAAAGCCAGGACTTCAAAGGGGATAGTTGTGAATCGGACATGGCACTCATTTTGAAATTGAAGCTGAAGGATTACTTGTTCACAGTCCCTTAAGTAGTTGAATAAAATTATTTTTTAAGTCAAATAAACGACGCCGGAACTAATGAAGTTACATAATAAATATTATGGTTACAAATGGCTAGAAAATTCAAGGCCTTGATGTAAATTGTTTTATTTTTCTTTTTGTTTCTATTCTCAGATGTTTTTTGGGTCGAATTTAATGATTTTAAGTTAGGTTGCTGAACTTGCCTAACGTTGGTTCAAATCTTGAATTAGCGATTCCATGTTGAGGATTGATTTAAACGGTGATTCAGGATTTGAACTGGAGTTAAGTAGTTCAGCGACATTTCAATGAATCTTAAAAGTTTAAAAGTTAATTATTTTTGATGGGGTTCAGCTGTTTCAAAGTTTAATAGCAATACAAATATTTACACATTATATGCACGCAGTACAAAATGTTTGTTTTCTCCTGGCAAATTTCACTTGTATTTTCGCTGATTGTTATTAATTGACCAGTGTCCGAATTTGATGAATTTGAGCCGCGTGTCAAATCCGCCAAAAACCGGTTATGAGCGCCGGCTTAAATCTTAGAACATAAAATACAATTTTACGCGGAACCATTTTCTTTAAATTCTTTAAATTCAGACTCAGAGGTCGATTATGGTAAAACGCGAAAAGAAGATGAACGCTAAGTAGTTAAACCACTTCTCTTATTCATTAATTTATACCTCAAGTAGTTTGTTCTAGGTATTGAGTTACATGAGGTATAATGGGTTTAAGCCTAGGCCTCGTCAGTTCTAAATACTACTGGAGTGAGAGACCTGTTCTTCCATCTTAGCTTTCAGATAACATTTAAAGTGATTTTTCAAATGGACCGTCGACCCACACAATCATTCTGAAAAAGATACCCCCCCGAGACTATCCATCTATTTTAATCTAACCTAGACTAAAAAGTATAGTCACGTGAAGTTTTTGTTTTCGTCAGTACAGGGTGTTCCAAAGCCATTTTTTAATTCCTTTGAAATGAGTTTGTGGTTTAAATTTAAGAAGTCTGTAGAAAATATGGTAAAATAGAGGCAAAAATGTAATTTTTCATAAAATTCGGGTATTTTCTTAGTCTTTTATTTATTAATTATTATTATCGTTTATCATCATTAAAATAAAAGAAGAAAACCAAGAGAGAAACCCCTGATTGATTAATTGGTACGGCTTCCTACGATCATATTTCTGAACATTATCTTAATATTTTCATCATTCATTATTACTATTATTATCATTTATGATTATTATTATCATTATTATCATATTATTAATATTATTATCATTTAACAAAACATTCCATGAAGCTCCAAGAGCTGTGCTGAAATCTTGGAAAAACTAAGTTGCTTGCATTTATCTAAAATTATTAAAAATTCTCAGACTGTATTATTAATTGCGTTAAATACATGACAGAAAATTCTACAATACAAATTATTTTTGAATTGTGTATTCATTCACTTGTCAAACGCAATTCTTTAAAGCGTGCTTATTTTTGAGCATTTTTTGGTGGGGGGGGGGGAAGGGATTTTCTGAAATACTTATATCACTGTTAATCTTGAAATCCAATGCAAATATTTTTTCGAACGAAAAAGAACATAACTTGTGATAAAATTGCATTTAAAATTTATAAAATTGTAGAATTTTTTTGTCGTCACTCATTTTTTTATGGATTCATCTTTGATTCGGATATTTTTAAAATTAATGGCTTTATATATATATGCATCAATATATTTTTTTGATTTAATACAGTATTATATATTGTTTTTGTTTAGGTTGTATTATTGATTATTAATAATAAAATAACTGTAATTGTCATCTTGATAATTATCCTGATCACACTTAGATTATTATATTGATTACAGATAAAGAATGAACTCAAATGGTCCCGGTCACCTTCTACCTGGATTTCAACCTGTAATGACCGCTGGTACACCCGGTCAACCTGGTTTCCAACCTGGGACCTGTGGAGAACCCTCCACCAGGTATAAAGGCCTGTGCAAAAAATGAGAGTTCTCTTATTAAATGGCGCAAAAAATTTCAAATTGTCCGACTTCTAATTGGCTGTTCGGGATTCTGCATACTTCACTCTAATTGGTTGAATTTTAGTTACTTTCCCGGATACAAACTAAAGATTAAAATAATCTTAAGATTATTAAATCAATATCCACAATTCCATAGTTTTCAGTTCTGTTTAAAATAATCTGAAGCGATCCTCCTCGATCTTGTTTTTGAGCTTGTTGTCTAATGAAAGATCCAATTCTAGAATGGGATTGAGTTGAAAGGTAATGTCTAAGTAATATAAAGTGACCTGATATTTGAAGAGATGAATATCCGACAAAAGGTTCTTTAAACTTGTGTCTCAGTAGAAATGTATAAGCTGTATATTCTATTTGAAGAGATGAATATCCGACACAAGGTTCTTTAAACTTGTGTCTCAGTAGAAATGTATAAGCTGTATATTCTATTTGAAGAGATGAATATCCGACACAAGGTTCTTTAAACTTGTGTCTCAGCAGAAATGTATAAGCTGTATATTCTATTTGAAGAGATGAATATCCGACGCAAGGTCCTTTAAACTTGTGTCTCAGCAGAAATGTATAAGCTGTATATTCTATAGGGCGGAATGGTGCCAGGCATAAAAAACTTTAAATTATAGGTTATTTGATATTTGGTCGAAAGTTCTTTTAACTGGAAAGTTTATTTTTTATTTATAATTTCAGAGTTGAGATCTCAGTGTCAGCTAAACAACTTCTAAATAAAGATTTAGGTAATTAATGTTTCCCTGGAATAAGAGATTAGTTTGAGACCAAATATATAATATATATGATAAATATATTCCTTTCTCTTTTTTTCATCTCAACATCAAACAATTTGAATACAATCCTGTTTTCTCCTACTTTATCTACCATCAAAACAGTTTGAAAAACGTTATCACTTGCAATCATATTTATAATAATGAAAATAATGAAATAGATTATAATTATGATTAATTATGATAGTATAATGATTAAAATGACAACACTATGGCAATTATTATGATATTAATGATGATAATGATAATGATAATGATTAAAATGACAACACTATGGCAATTATTATGACAATGATAATGATAATGATAATGATAATGATAATGATAATGATAATGATAATGATAATGATAATAATTTATTTAGTCTCGAGATCGGACCCAATGTGCGTCCTGTTCCGAGGGTTGGATGGAAACCGGTGGGTAGAAGAGGGTAGGACGGAGCAGATTGTAGATTCTCCAAACCCTGTCTGGGATACTAAATTCATTCTAGACTACAGGTAATTTTCTTTTTTGACAGAAATGTTGCATTGAAGTAAAACATAACTCTTTTTTTCTAAAAAGCCAAAACTAAAAGTTTGAAAAACCAAAGAATTTCATTTTTCTTGCTCTTGAGAGTAAAATTAAATTTAGAGGATTTAGAAGATCGCAAAGGCGTTACAGAAATTTCGTTTAAAGCAACTTATTGCTCGCCTCTAATTGTTTTTTTTTATTATTTTTTATACTTAGTGTCAACCTTGGGTTTTTTTAAACTATAAATTCTGGTAGTTTGTAGATCTGATAGTCTACAGTTGAAAATGTCATAGTTTACACGGTTACACAATCAGGTTGCAAACATAAAATTATTTTTGATTAAACAATTAATTGAGGCAAGTATTTAATTTGACGTGGTTTTAATTATGTTCAATTGAAGTGGGTGTAAAAATGCCAATGCCAATGCCAATAAAAAAAAGAATTGTGAGGACATTAAACTTATTTAATTAAAGTAAATTAATTTGTAAATTGTCCTTTTGTATTTGCTTTTTAGTTTTTGCGAAATCTTTTGCATGGGGGGGGGAGGAAAGGAAAGGGGATGAAGTAAGTATTTTCAGAGTTGTAAAATTAATTTTCTATATTTTGTATGTTTAGAGAAATCTAGATATCAAACATAAAGTTTGTAGTGTATCTATGTATAGTTTTAATGTTGTTTTAGAATTGCAAATTTATATGTTTTTATTTTTTAATAATTGTAACTGGCCAATCCATGCAAGTACAACAAACACACTAATTCATCTAATTGAAAACTTTTTAGAAAGTGTATTTAGCGTTTTAAAAAAAAATTTTCAACCATTTTTTTAGTTTTGATGTTTAGTACAGTGTTAACCAGAAAACGCTGAAATAGGAAGACGACTTTTAGAATCAAGTTATCTTTAAAAAGTCCAATGAGCATGAGACACAGTAGTAGTGCGGTGTAAACAGTCCCATTTTACTTTAAAATTTTACTTACTGTAACAACATCAAATACACTTAAATATTGTTATTATGTCGTCTTTCTATTCCATTAGGTCTTAGCTGGTTATTAAAGTAGTTTCTATATCAATGATATTTAAGCTTATAATAAATAGAATACTTGTATACTATTATTGTTATTACTGTCCTTATAATAATTATTATTTCATTATTATCATAATCAATGATATTTATAAACAATTTAAGGTGGAATATTTGTCCTTTTAATTACAAAATCCTTCGCGGCATTTCATATTAAAAGAACTCTGAAAAATTTGCCGGTAAAAATGTCGACTTTTATTTATTTTGAAATTGCGCCAATAAAACTAGAAAATCTGTATAACAGTTAAAAGCTCAAATAAAATGAATAATTATTAACTATTTAAATTTCTAGGTTTGAACAGAGGCAGATGCTAAAGTTTGAAATTTATGATATAGATTCAAAAAGTACAAAACTAGAGGATCATGATTTTTTGGGTCATGTCATCTGCTCTTTAGGTAAAAGGTTGTTCTAAAAGCCCCCCCACCCTACCCGGAAAAATTTGGTCCCAATTTAAACACTCAGAATAGAAGAAAAGCAAGTGTTTGATCTATGAAAAAACCACCGAAGACAGTTTGACTCTGATTTTTTAAACGATTTGAATAAAATTTTTGAGAATTGGCTAACATCCATTACTCCTTACAGGCTGGATATATTTGCTTCTGATGGAACAACTGTTTACACAATGGAAAATAAAAATACTTTTCCCATTTTACCAAAGCTTAAAATCAATCATTTCATTTTTTCAAATTGGTTCAGATTGGTGTGAAATTTCAAATGAACCGGATCTTTGTCTTGATTTTGCTTATTTAGGAGAGATAGTGTCTGGTCAGAGTCGAGGGTTTAAGAGGAACCTGGAGAAGGGGCAGGGAATCCTATTCATAGCATCTGAGGAGATGGTGGAGAGTAATCAGATTATCAGGTCAGGATAAAATATCTTTATCCCCCCACCCGGCCCCTCTTTAGAGGGCTTATTCTTATATTTGAGATGACAATTAATAAAATGAATGATATTTTCTGCCAAGAGAACCATTACGCTTTTGCAAAACTGAGTTATTAAAGACAAAATTTTATTTCTATAAGAATACGTGTATTTATATAAGAATAAGCGTATTTATATAAGAATAAGTGTATTTATATAAGAATAAGCGTATTAATATAAGAATAAGTGTATTTATATAAGAATAAGTGTATTTATATAAGAATAAGTGTATTTATATAAGAATAAGT